AATATATTTAAAGAAAAGAAAGTCAAAGCCAACAGAGACAAGCATGCTTGTAGTAATTCTATTCTGGTTTCATTTTTAATACTGAAATGCTCCAACTGCTTATTTCAGTATATATTTTCTCTTTATTATTTACATATTTTGGAAAATTGAATAATTTAAATAAATACTATGTAGATTTATTTTTGGACAATATTACTGTTCCTTTGTCCTCTGGATGGTGTTTACCTTGGTATTGGGAAGTACTTAGTTTATTTTTTAGGGAAAGTAATTATTGAAATAATTTCAAGACTCCTCACTTGTGCTATTCCTGAGAGGTGGAAGGACCAGGAGACAAGTCATGAACAATGTGTCGGACTTTACAGTTTCTCAGTCTCTTTGCACATTTTACTTCTCTGCTTCCTATAGCCATGTGAAGTATGATGTGCCAATTGACACAATATACATGTAAAGTATGTACAGTATACATGAAATATATATGTGAAGTCTATAAAGTATATATAAGTATATGTATATATGAAATATATGTATACAATGTCTGTATAAAGTACCTACAAGTTCAGAGAGATATATGACTAGAATGTCACAAAACAATCGAGATCTCAAAGTCATTTACTCTTTCTATTACACTATGTTTTTCCATCTAAAGAATGAAAGCTACAGTTATATATTCTTTGTGATTTTAATATATATATATATAACTTATAAAATTTTAAATTTATACAAATATCTCAAAGAATGTACAGAGGGTTCTGTATACTTCACACCCAGTTTCCACTATTGTTAATATGGTACATTACCATGATGCATTTGTCACATGTCACATGATGCATCAGTATTGATGAATTATTGCTAAAGTGCATACATAGTACTTTATTTGGATTTCTTTTTATAGGATGCCACATCAATTATTTTTAGTCAGCATGCCTCCTTTCCTTCTCTAGACTATGACACCTTCTTGGACTTTGCATATTTTGTATGACCTTGAGTGTTTTGAGCATTGTTGGACTGATATTTTGTAGGGTATCCTTCCAGTTAGGTATGTTGGGTGTTTTTCTCATGGTTATATGGAGTTGTGGTTTGGGAGAAGAAGACCACAGAGCTAACATGCTTTTCTCAACACATCAATAAGGGTGCATACTCTCAATATCACTTGTTACTGTTGATCACCTGGTGTGGGGTAGGTTGTGTCTGCCAGGTTTCTCGACTATGAAGGTACTCTGTTCCCCCTTTCATGCTGTGCTCTTTGGAAAGAAGTCAGTGTGCAGCCTATTCTTAAGGGGCATAGATCTATTTTTCATCTCCTTGAGGATGAGCTCCATTTGACTTGATGTCTATGGACTTATGAGTCAAGAATATTGTCTCTGATGAATCATGTTAATATGAAAATCTTGTCCAAGAGATATGTGTTAATATTAATTGAACAATTGTTTGTGATCGCCTCTCAAGGTATACTTACTTGCCTGTGTATGTTTTTATTTCATTCCTTCATGGTGTACATAATAAACACATTTGAGTTAAAGACAAGAAACAAGGCCACTTGATTGAATAGCTAAACTAGAAGAGTTTATTTGCTGGGCTTAGTTTCAAATTAGTTGTAAATCTACTCCCAGAGTTCTCTTAACTCCAGGGGGAAGTCGAATGGGATTTTATGGCTAAATTTAAATTGGATATGAAGAATTTGATAATAAAACAAAAACAAAAAAGAAAGTCTGGAATATTTCCTGGATAGCATTCTTAATACACTTCATATAATTTCTAAACATACTATTTATTTTGTCTAAATAAATGAATTAAAGGGTAACATCTTACTATCAGAATGAAATGTAATTTTTAGACACATTTTAGAGGATTTGGCCATGTAAATGGCTATAGTAGTAACATTGGAGTTCAACTTGGGTGAATTAAAAAGTAAGTGTACCCTCCAGGAAATAATATTTAAAAAATATGTAGTATTTAAAAGTAAATTCTGTATCACACTTGATATATTTGTAAAAATATTTAAAATGTTGAAAAATGTAATTGGCTACTTTCTAACAACCTGTCTTTGAATTCTTAAAATGTTTACTTGTATCTCTCTTTCATGGGTTGGACTATGCTTTCTTGTGGAATTTGTATTGAAATTTGGCCACCAAAAGAGAATAGGTTAATATGACAGGGTCGTCTGAAAAAGAAAAAGTGGTTGCTTTTCTTCTATTAATATTTTATACGAAATCAACCAAATGAATATATAAGTATTCTAAAGTAGAAATGTAAATAATATAAAAAACTATACCTTATAACTTCACACTTAAACTTCTTTTTAGATTTTAAAGAATAGATTATTCTTAACAAATTGACATACTTATACAGCATAAACTTCTCATGGACTAAAAACACATACTTATTATAGGTAAGGTGATATGGTTATGCATATGTGAAATATTATGACAACTGTGAAATATATTAGTGTGAGAATTAATCCAGGAAAATTATTTTGCAGTGACGTATAATAATTTGCAGCCTAAAGTACTAAAAAATAAGTAATAAATGAGTGAGTGTTTGTGTGGAGCAGTAAATACAATGCAAATATTGAAGAAGTGCTATAAATATCTCACCCGTAGTGTTTTCTAAGAGGCAACAGAAACTGTTAGTGATGTTGGCATCTATTCATGCATAAAATTTTTTCAGAGAGCTCAATCACTGTTCAGCATGTTGGGGCTACTGAGCTGGATGAGATTTGGGGCCTACCTTCTGGGAATCAGGTGTTATCAATTCCATTGATAACAGTTTATTGTCATAATAAATTTTGTTTGTATTTCCACCATTTTAGAGTTACTGTATGTTTTTTGCATAGATTATTAATTCATAAAATATTATAACCTTTTTGAAAAATTTCCAAGCAGCTTTGGCAATCTCCTATTGGGACAAAAGCCTGTTCGTTATATTAACTCTTCAAACACATAAGATTGCATTTAGAAAGTGAACCCCCGTGGTCAAGGTCCTGAGTTAGGAGCCAGAGGACATCAAAAGGCATAAAATACAGCTCATCCTTTCAAAGAATCTTATATTAAGCGAGGCACATACAAGAATTTTATCTAAGAGATTATTTTGGGGATTCTGCTAAATTGCTTGATTTTGTTTTATTTGATAAGCACTTTTTTATTAACTCATAAAGCCATAAATACATTTGCATTCTGAGTAGCGTCTGGGAACAGTAGTACATATAGCAATAGTTATTATTACAATTTCTAAAGACTATCCAGGAGATAAGAGCATGATGTAGTAGAAAGAATATTAATTTTCCAGTCAAACATATCATATGTCTATATCACAACTAATAAGCTGTGACCTTGATCTAGGGCCTTAAATTTTCTGAGTCAGTTTGCTCATTTGTGGTATGTAGGTAAATCCTAACTTTCAATGGATCTGGGAGGGTTTAATGTGACACATGTGGAGCTCTTTGCACATGCTTGGCAGAAAGCAAGTGTGGAAAACTAGGTATTTGTCAGTATTAAAATAATAATTCTTGAGCAATGCCTGACTGTTTTCAAAAGTGACTTCAGCCCTCATTTGTCCCAATATGATAAGGTTGTGGGTTCAATCCCCAGTCAGGGCATATGCAAGAATCAACTAATGAATACATAAATGAGTGAAACAACAAAGTCCCCCCCCCTCTCTATCAATCAATAAATAAAAATTAAAAAGCCACTTCACTTTTATTATGCAATTTAATCCTTATAGCACTTCTGTAATTGAGATATTATCAATTCAGTTTCTTAGATAGAGAAGCCAATGAGTAGAGTGCATAGAGGAAATTCGACACCCATGAGACCTGGATCCTGGTCCTTTAGCTCTCGGTCCTGCCCTCTCCATAAAAGATTAGGTATTTGTCATTGCCTTGTTCACACCAAAACCTATGTGCTTGGCTTTTGTAAAGATATAACTTTTTGGAGTCTTAACGTCCTCATCTTAGTACAATGAGGGCATTGTGCTAATTTACCTTCCAAATCCTTTTCAGTTCTGTGTATATTGAGTCAGTGTAGTGTAGTTGTCAAAGGCATGGTGTTGGAGATGAACTTTGGGGTTCCAATCCTAACTGCCATTCCTTGGCTCTGTGACCTTAGTCAAGTTACTATATCTCTCTGTTTCATTTTACTTATCACTGTGGATTAATAAATAGTACTTTCTTCAGAGCATCATCATTGTGAGGAATAAATGAATTATGCTATGCATAGCACTTAGAATGGGATATGGTATAGAGTAAGCAATAGGTAAGTATTTGCTCTGATTATTATGCTAAAATTGTAACATCAAATTCAGAAACTCCAAGTGAACTATTTAACCCTTTCTAGTTATAAAGTAGATTTGCTACATAATTAAGTGGAAACTTCCCCATCCTGGATTAATGGCTTAATTACATTGCTGTCTTTAATTCTATATGGTATTTATAAACAAGCCCATGTTTTATTTCAAGAATGCAAATGTTCATTAAAATCTATAAAACATAGACATACTGGAACCTATAAGACAATGGAGTCAACATAGAATATTTGGCAAATTGCTTAGAAGGATAAAAACAATTTTATTTCTATATAGTGGACTTTTACAATATACTGGAAAATATTTATGCCTAAGTTATCTATAATAATAAAAGGGCAATATGCTAATTAGACCAGACATCTTTCCAGACATCATTCCAGACATCCTTCCAGATGAAGCCGGCAGCCAGCGGGAAGCCCGGGTCCTGAGTGCCAGAGGGAAGCCGGTGCTGACAGCCGGAACAAGGAAGGCCTACTCTTGCACAAATTCTGTGAATCGGGCCTCTAGTTGTTTAATAATATCACAATGTTTACTAATTTAAGTAGAAAATGTATTTATAGTTTCCATACTTTAATTTTGCTTTGTAAGACATTCAAGCAGCTGACATTTTTCAAAACAACTACTAGCACAGTGCAAACAACAACAAAAACCTGCTTTCATTCCATTTTTTTGTTCTGTATTCACTCTTTCTTTTTTGCTAGGTGGCATGCATGCAGTGGGTTCATGGAGACCATACAATGCTTGAGATGATTGAGAAAAAGCGTTGCTTGTGCAAGGAAATAAAGGCTAGACAGAAAACGGAAAAGGGTCTTTGCAAACAGGATAGCATGCCCATCCTGCCCAGCTGGAAGAAGAATGCAGGCGCAAAGAAGTACAGCCCTCCACCCTATTCTAAACAGCAAACGGTATTCTGGGATACTGCCATATGACTGTGTACAGGATGGCGTGAGCTCCACATGACTTAATGTGAAGAGGGAGGTCGACTCATCATGTGCTAAGTAACTGTTCAGTATCTTTTCTGTTGGAATGGAACATCAGCACTTCCCTGGAAAACTCATGGGAAGCTGCGCTTACGCACGGCAAGTGCAAAATAAAATGTATATTTCCTTGCAATTAAGGCACACTTATTTATCACGGATTATTTTGAATCCAGGAAGAGATTAAGATGTACATATTTTACTAGTTTATGGGTGACACCTGAAATAATACACAATATACGTATATAAATGACAGAAATATCAAGAGTTTTACTATATGATATAATTTTGGTATTAACTGGTTTGTTATCTTCTCTTTTATATATGTAATCCCTTGATGCCTTTTATTATTAATTTTGCAGTTAAACTACCTTTTTCTGCCCATATTTGTCTTCTGTACAAGAGCTCACAGCTATAAACCATGTTCAATCACACAATATATGATCTGGTGCTAGTAAAGTATATGTTGAATATCATAGTCATTAAGAACACATGTTGTTTCATATGTTTTTAAGAGTTTGACAGGGAATGCATGTGAGTGTGATGCTTAATGCGATGCTTAATTTGGATGTTCACATGACATCGACACCAACATTTTTGCTACACTGGCTTTCTAAGAATTTCTATTGAATATCATCTTGATACTAAACAATGGTTAGTCAGACTCCACATGAAGTTATTAGGATATCTTTGGACATCCCAGCAGAAAAAATTTCCTTCAGAAATGACATTAGGGATGCCCATCCTTGCATCATTGATCTGATTGGAGGAGACCAGGTTCACTGTGACAAGGGAAGCAACAAGGAATCAAAAGTTAAATAGTGAGATGACATTCAAGAAGCTGGGACCTGTGGCATTGCAGCCACTGTAATCACTATTTCTAAGTAAATTCTCATGTGTCTGTTTGTCCCCTCTCCCATTCCCTCCCCCCAAAAAAAAAATGAGAAATAAATATTTAACCAGGTGCGTTTACAGATTTTAGTACACTAAATGTCAATCCTCCTCAAAATTTAGGTCTATTAACGAAATGGTATTTCTTGTACATTTTTTCACCCTAGTTATTACCACATTTTTGGGTCACAATCTTCTGTGCATGAGTATCACACCCATTCCCACTAATTATGACACCGTGACCAAAGAATTATGACCACTTGTTTATTTCATTTTATTTCAAGGAAGAAACAGGAAAAGCAGGGGATCGGGGACGGGGTGGATTCAACTTTATGAGGTAGTAAAATTTATGTTAAACAAATTATATATATCTTTTAAGAATAGCTTGTTAGTTGAATATAAATATTGCCACAAATGAATAAAAAGGCAACTATCACATATATTTTGTATATTTAAATTACTATTTATGCTTCTTAAAATTGACAGTATGTGGTTCTTTAACAATCAATTGAGTATTATATTTCTGAGAGACAAGGTACGTGTTAGAAGTTATTGTCATAGTGGTTTTCCTTGTAAGGGTTTTGACAGCAATAGTGCAGTGTTGCTCAATAAAACCAAATATAGCAGGAGTTAGGGAACTTTTGTAATCTATATTCCTAAAAAATCTAGTAATACTTTATCAGTAATAGTTCCTTTCAAGCCTTTGAAATCTTATAATTTTTTAAGATTTTATAATTAATGTATATTTTGATGTCCAATTAGAATTCTGAAAAAAAAAATAAGGAAAAGGTAAGTGGGAGCATGTGTATTTGTCATGTGTGTGTGAATGAGGACTCAGTGGGAGAACTGTGTACATAAAATGCTTTCTAAAGTTTTAGGTTTTGCTTGTATACCTGAGGTGGTAAAAACAAATAAAAAGCAGAACCACAAGTTCAGGAAATCTTGGAGGGATCTTAAGGAGCTTAAATAAACCCTGTTGCCATATTTCACCAGTTATGAAACCCAATAACTCATGGGACACAAATCTGAGTGATAAAAATGTGTTAAGATAAAATCATAATTAAAATAAAATGTATTAATAACCCAAGTTGTTATACTGATTCAAGTCATTAGGACCACATACACTCAAGCCAATCAATCAGACATCAGACATCAGTTCTTAGCATCTTGATTATGATCTTGGTTTATTTATTATATTCAGGCTCCATAGGGTCATGATTGGATAATTCCCTGGAACTTATATTTAGGTAACATGTGTAAGCACATTTTCAGCTGCTGATCTTCTCCATATTTCTCTGACTTAAGCAAAAGACTTTTTAATGCTGGCCATTTGTCAAGAAGGAAACAGGGGTACTGGCATGATTTGGGCTGGATTTAGCCATTCCCATTTATTCTGCCCAACTTATGCTGTTGCCGAGTTTCACGTGTTCCTTTTTATTTATTTTTTTATTTTTTAAATACGTTTTATTGATTCCAGAGAGGAAAGGAGAGGGAGAGAGATAGAAACATCAATGATGAGAGAATAATTGATCGGCTGCCTCCTGCACCCCTCACACTGGGGATGAAGCCTGCAACTGGGGCATTGTGCCCTAACCAGGAATCAAACCGTGACCTCCTGGTTCCATGCTCAACCACTGAGCAGTAAATGTTGGACATCAGATACTCCTTTTTAAAATAAGTTATTTTCTAGAAAGGTAACTTCTTTGAAATTCTGATCTTAGGCAATGGTTTCCATTTAATTCTTTCAATCTTGCTTTCAATGGGAAGTAATGGAAAGATCTGGAGAAGTGGTTTCATGGATTTTGGCTCAAGAACTGTGCTTATCCTACTGTCTACTCTGGCTTAGCCTGTATGGCAATAGCAAATCTATAATGGATTTCCTCTTAGTAAATGCTTCTTTATGTGGAGGGAAAAGGAGGATAGGACAAAGAAAAAGAGCTTACTTTCTCATGGTCATCAATTAGGACACTTTAGTCTATGAATTTGGTTAGAAGATGACAAAAATCCACCTTCAGCCAGAACAGCATTGAATGGCAATGCTCATCTTTTTCATAGTGCCAAAGAACAGATCTTATCCTGGTATGGTTAGCAGGTGGAAAGCGCTCAGACCTATGAAAACATGGTCTTTTCACAGCAAATTTTGGAGACACAGAATTTTATTGGCTGTCAGCCAGATGCTTTTATATGTGAGAAACTTCCTATCTGAGAAGAGACAAATCAAATCCTGAATTTCTGCCCAGTCCCAGTAGCCAGCACACTTGGAGGTCTCTCGGGAGTTCTTTATGGGAACACTACCCGCCTTGCCCCGTGTTCATGCTGTCGAAGCAAGTGTGGAGTGAAAAGTGACTGATCTGTGTCAATGAGCATTGCTCTCCTTCCATATAAAATTGCTGGGAGAGTGAAACAAATAAAACAGTGGGAGGTTAACATTTGTAGTTTTACAGAATACACACCTTCAAATACATAGCCATTGTGTGGATACAACCAGACAGAACTTCACTTTTCAAAATAATGACACCGGAACTTCAGAGACACTGAGGTTCCAGAAAGTTTTCTTTGCTTTGGAGAGGAGAGAAACCTTTCTTACTACGTTCTGGCTTTAACCTCATTCTGACACACCTTTTGGGTTGACCGTTTTGAGTGAGGTTAATGAGCAAGTCAAAAACACTGAACAACCCTGTTAGGATATCATTTTAACTATTAAACAAGACATCTAAACAGTGCACATAAAATGCAGTTTTTCTATTACTTACATGTTAAGGTGAGCCACTTGCCTATAGAAAAGAGCTGTAAGCTAATTATGGCTACCTATGAAAATCAGCAGAGTCCTATGATTTAAGCAGCAATCTGAGATGAGAAATAATTCACCTTTGTGAAGGAATAGAAGTAGAATAAAATAGCAATTTGTAACTCATTATGTCCCAAACTTAAATGGAAGTGAAAGAAAAATGGTACTTATAGTATTTAAGATAGTTAACTGTAGAATGTGGACAATTTATTAATCCATTACTCATTTAACAGTTCACAGTTAAGCAACTTATGTATCAGTTATTTAAAAAATTTGTGAAGTATTTGGCATTAAATATTCAAAAGATGTGGCCCTGCCTTTAATAAGCTTAATTATGCAATCATTAATATTTTCAAAACAAAGTCAATTGTTTTTAAGAAGATATACAATATCACATGTGCTTGACATCACTTATGTGCTTATATATGGTATTCTCTTTTCTTTCAAATCCAATGTACAGTCAAAATAAACTACTACAACATAGTAAAGTCAACGTCTAAGTATAAAAGTATATGTTTATGTGTAAGCCTCTATGTGTGCACATAGGATATGTACCACTGTCTATCAGAAAATCAGTAAGATGATAGCAAGTTTTGCTATGTTGGACTTGAACACTATTGCTTGGGATTTAGATTAATTTATAACCTTTTGATATTTGGGTCAATCACAGCATAGCAAAGGTGTTTAATCTGGAAAAATAATGTCTGTACATTTCCATTTAAGTGTTATATAAATTCAAATTCAAGGGGAAACATCTTTACAGAGATATTGTTGGATTTATCTCCCAAGTATATATGACAAATTTTTTGAAGTGTTCAGTTGTTCCCAAATGTGACTGGGTTTGCCTACCCTAAAAGCATTTACATTTACTCGTGTATACAGCCACATACAGTATACATACTGTATATAATATATAGGGAAATGTTTAGTAATTCTTTGGTTTGGAACTCCTTAACATTTGTAGTGTAGCAGTTCGTGTAATGTGCACTGTGATTATACAAATCAAAGCACAGTAAAGTCACAGGTCTTGTTATCTTGCACTAAAAATGTGTTTACGTATTTAGCAAGTGTATGTTTACTTTCTTGCTCTTTTCAAGAAATTGAAACAAATAGCTATTAAGAAAATTATATAAAATAATATGTTTTTTAGTGGATAATGGCACTACATTTTTAAAAGACAGGGTTTTTAAAGGAAACCATTTACCATCCATTCCAAAATGACATGTTTACCATATCTAAAAATCTGAATGTCATATTGCATTTTTCATAAACTTGTCAGGTATGTGCCTGAAAAAAATGTGCAAATAAGCATTAGATAACAGATTTCTCTACTCGTGTGTTGTTGGCCATTTCTATATACATAATAATATAAACATTGATGTTTTAATTTCTCTTAAGTTTTGTACTTGATTTTTTAGGTAACATGTAATTATAAATGTACTTTGATACTACTGAAGTAACCAGATGTTGTTTAAAAACAAATTGTTTTCTTTAGTGCATTGACAATATTTTAAATACTTTTGTGCTTATTTATTTGTGCTCCCGTGTAATTATAATAAAAGCAATAGTTTAAATTAATTGACTTTGTTGTGGCTGGTATTTATTCATCAAGAAACAAGATTAGGTCCTAGCCAGTTTGGCTCAGTGGCTAGAGTGGTGGCCTGTGAACCCAAGGGTCCTGGGTTCGATTCTGGTCAAAGGCACCACACCCAGGTTGCAGTTGCCGGCTCCTCCCAGGCCTGGGCCCTGGTTGGGGCTGTGCAGGAGACAATCAATCAATGTGTTTCTCTCACATCGAAGTTTCCTTCTGTCTTTTTCTCTCTCTTCCCCTCTCTCTAAAAATCAATAGAAAAATATCCTCGGGTGAGGATTAGAAAAAAGAAAAAGAAACAAGATTAGTAAGAACTCTTTCAAAGAAAACTGCACACATTTTTCAACTTCTGCAGCTGCTCATGAGAGTGTGTGCATTGTGGACGATGGTGTGGGTGAGTACTGAGAGCCTGGCCTTCAATATAGTTATGTGACCCCCAATTGTCCTCAATCACCACTTGGCTTCTGTGTGAAATAGGTGAACTACTAAATAAGAGGAATCTGGACATTTCTTGTGCTTCAGTATACACCTAATTCCAATTAAATGACTCAGCATGTATCTAAAGTGTGCTGGAAGCATTAAAGAAAATTTCCATCAGTCCTAGACCTGTGCATGCAGACAGAATATTTATTGGAGGGGTATTTAGCATGCTGATTTGTGCAGTTATACTTCTATACCTCAAATGGTAAGTTAGTATGCTAAATTGTTTACTATTATTATTGCTAGAAATCAGTAAAAAACCTCTCAGTAATATATGAACTATTCCATCATCCTGCCCTTCCCTCATCTCTTCAAACAAAAGAAAATACACATCAATCAGTATATAGTTAAGAGATTAGAGTCACGTTATCAACCGTCTCGAGACGTGTGATTTAGATTTTTAGAAAACACATGGGTCCATAGGCTGTTTGGGGTATATTATATTTTAATAAAATTAAACTTTGTGAAAATGTAGGCACATATGTCCACATGGAAATGAGTAGGTAGATAATAGAAAGTTAAAAAGAACTGTGAAAATAATCAATGTATACCCTCTCAGCTCCAAATCTTCTCCCTCCCCCCTCCCCACTTCTCCCATGGCCTGTTGTGTTAAAATGGATCTGGACCGTTTTTATAGTTTTCCTTTGCAACTTGTTTTTTAAGATTTGTCAGCAGAGGTGATGGAGAGAGTCTACCTGAAGAAGAGAGACTGCCTGAAGAAGGGACTGTCTCTCTCATCCTCCAGCAGGATGTGTGTGGATGATCCAAGCAACTCCCACTCCATGAGTTTCTGTGGCATCCCAAGGGATGTCTCCAGTTTTCCCCTGGACCAGCTCTCACCCAAGGCAGCTCAGCAAACCACTCTGTCTTCCAGGGGACCACAACCTTACCCTTTCTAATGAGGACTGAATTCCAGCATTGAGGAATTGTACCTTCCATCATTGTTCATTCCTTGGGCAACCTCCCTCAGCACCAGGGTAATTTTTAGGATTCTCTCTAATACTGTACAGATTTTTTTCTTGTTATAGGGAATAATTCTTTACATCAAACACTCCCTGTTTAAATTATTGTGTGGTTTCTATCTGCTGATTGGATCTTAACTAATACAACAATTTTTATTCTTTTTTACTATTATTATTGTTTTTCATTTTTAGGAACACTTTCCTGAACTATTGTCTAGTGCCCCAATAAGATAAATATATGCTTCAAAAAGTTATAGCAGCATTTTAATATTGATGACAGCAAAGCATTGAAATTGGTGATGGCCTTTATGAGCCAAAATTAATATTGGTCAAGTTTGGTCCCAGTCACTTGTTATAAATAGCTTAATAAAATACCTATATATTTTATTCAGATATTCTTAATCTCTTGCTATTAAAAGAAGACTTTTTTGAAATTTAGCAACTTGTCTGATTTTATTCCTCCCAGTTTTATTGTGTTTTATTAATATTAATTTAAAATTAAATTTAACACTTTTGGTGTTTTAAAATGTTGAACATAGGTAGAGTAGATATTGATGTGGAAGAATGGCTTTCAAATATTCAGTCCCTAGCACTCATCCTAACCTGTCCTAACAAGCATAACTATTGAATAAATAATTGTGCATTTTTGTTTTTATACTGAAAAAT